ATAGCAAAAAAAAGTTGCAGCGACCACTATATTCCGGAAACGAAAGTTCCACTGCCAGGATTCCGACTCACGCGACTCCCCACACAACCTTCCACCGATTGGGACGCTTTTTGCAAAAGAAGACAAAAAGCCACACGACCGCTGGAAAATATTGACGACTGGTGCAGACATTTAGTCAAAGAGCAAGAGGCCAGCACTACAGAAATCGAGAACCCTACCCATTCTTGAAAGATGTACAGCAAACTACAACATGCTGATGGCCTATAGTTCAATCTATTGGAGATGGGAGGAAATAAAAAAGAGGTACCCTAAGCTTAGACGACGGGCTGCCTAACTCAGCAGAGAAATTGAAGCGTACGCGCAGCAACTCAAGCAGAAACAGTGGCAGCAAATGTGCGATGAGCTACAAGGAAGATTACACACAAAAAGCGCCTGGTCCCTCTTTCACTATGTGATGGAACCTGCCGATACCAAACTAGAGAAGAGGAAACTTCTTACCAAACTCGTTCGGGAACTCGATGGCGAAGACATCTACGCAAGACTTAGATCCCTGTATCTGGAATCCCCCCAACCTGCCACCCCGCTATCAACAGCGTACGGCGAAAACGAGAACGGCAGGCTCGATGCACCAATTACCGAATCGGAAGTGTGTCTCGCCATGGCCGAAGTCAAGACTACTTCGACACCGGGCGCGGACAAAGTCACGAACAGAAAGCTTCACAACTTGGACGACGAATCGCTCCTACGAACTACCGAGTACTTTAACAAAATATGAACGAACTGGCGCTTTTGGAAAGCTTTCGCCACGCAATCGTCAGCTTGATCCCAAAACCCAGAAAACCTCTCAAGGTGGAGAATATGTGCCCAATCTCACTTACGTCGTGCGTGGGCAAACTACTGGAGCGTGTCATTCAAACAAGAGTACAAGAATACATGGAGGAGCAAAATTTATTCATGCACAAAATGTTTGGTTTCAGAAAACATCTCCCTACGCAGGTTGTGTTTGTTCACCTTCAAGAAGACCCGCTGAATGAAAGCAGAAATTGGGCCGCACTCGCCGCACTCGATTTGAAGAAGGCTTTTGACCGTGTATCCCATGCGGCAATCTTGAACCAAATTTCCGAGACGAGGCTGGGGGAGCGGACCTTCAACTACGTCCGCTCTTTCCTGCCTGGCCGCACAGCCAGCATCCAACTAGAAGGCGAAACTTCGGAAGTTTTTAGCATCAACAACGGATGCGGTACGCCACAAGGGGCAGTCATTTCCCCGCTACTGTTTAGTATGGCAATGATACCCATGTCGAGAAAGTTGGAACTGGTTGGAGGCCTGCAGCACGCCTTGTATGCCAACGATATTACGATTTGGACCAACAACCCATCCCCCTACATGAGCAAAGCCTTAAAGTTAGGGACGAACATCGTAAGAGAGAAAGCGAAAGCCATCGGACTGGAATGCACCACCGAAATGTCGGCACTACTGGTCCGACCCCACAAACACAAAGCTTACCAGCAGGAAACAGAGTTCTGCCTCAAGACGCAAGGTATAGACAATCCTAGGACAGACGATGTACGAGTTCTCGGAATGATAATTTCTATATACAACCAGCAGAGCAGTATCATCAAGTACATCAGGAAGCACGCGGACAACCTCGCCCGACTAGTTCGACGTGTGTCCCGCAAGAGCTACGAACTCAAAGAGAATGGGACTTGCCGACTAGTTCACGCATTCGTGCTCAGCCGAATCATGTATGCGGCACCATACATGCACCTGAACGAAGGGACAATCAAAACTCTAGATACAATTATGAGGAAAGTCTTTAAGACCGCCCTTGGTCTACCAACGTGCACACCAAACGACGCGCTGGAACAACTCGGACTTCATAACACTTTCGAAGGAATGCGAGTAGCACAGAGGACAGCTTAAGAACAGCGCCTGCTGAAAACTGCGACAGGCCTCATCACTCTGCAGCGCTTTAGAATCAAGCAATCGAATAAAGAAGTCAAACAGAAACCGATCCCAGCAACATGGCACCGGGCTTTAAGAGTTATGCCGCTACCCAAAAACACGAATTCCGCGAGGGACAAGGGAACAAGAGAAGGAAGAGCCAGGGCACTGGACACGCTACATAATGGTCAAGAACACATGTACCAGGCAGACGCCAGCACATACCTCCCGAAGAAAACAAGTGCGTGGTTGCCGTGTACAACGCTAACTGCACAACCACCGCATCAGTACGAGCGAGCAACGTCGACGAGGCAGAAGAGGCGGCCACCGCTTTGGCCCTGGACACTGCCGTAGCAAAGGGCCACCCTGCCACCATCACATCTGAGTCAAGATCGGCCATTATGAACCTGAGCAACGGTAAAGCCGGACCTGCTGCACGAAACCTATTACTGAAGACGACGCCAAAGGAAGAAGCCAGCTACTCGTTCACGTGGGTGCCCCGCTACTCGGGTCACTCTGGCAAAGAGGGGCCTCACTCGCTAGTGGTCCGTGCGCAAAAAATCCGGACCAATGGCGGGATGTGCATCCCCGCCACCGACAGAGACCACAATTACGGGGCCTCACCACTCACGCGGAGTGCCGTAACATATAATGAGATCCTCAGAAACCTCAAGATTCGGCGCAAGATTCTGGGTGAGCCTCACAAGAACCCTACGCGCCTTCAAGAATCTACGTGGCGGCGCCTAAAACTCCGCAACTCCCTGGCTCCCCGAACCCTGAGAAGATCATGGCCAGATCTCTTCAAGGGAAATTGTGAAGAATGTGGCTTCGCGGACGGGTCCTGGCGGCATACCTACTGAGAATACTCAGAGACCGCCCTGCCTACTGTCCTGTGAGATATATTAGAGGAAGACTACTCCCCTGTTTGGGAACGGATCTTGATGGCAGACGACTACACCATGCAGATTGCAGTCGTTTCAGGCGTGCAAAAATTGAGTACAAGCTCAAGTCGAAGCTGAAAATGCGAAGAATCCCACATCCCCCCCCCCCCCTTCAAACGAGCCCTCGTATCAGATATTAGGATCTGATTTTACGGTTCAATAAAGTTCACTGACTGACTGACTATCGAATACGGATCGGAGCCGCTTTTTCAAAGCAGGGTCTATGCAGACTTGTGCTCGTTACTTGAAAAATGCAGTGGATGACAATTACAAATCAACGAGCCTCAAATGTAATGGATTGCCGTTACAAATAACGTTCGCTGAAAAGTAACAGATTACTTTAGTCGCTACGTTACAAATTGCTTTCACGCTACTTTTTCGTACACTTATCGAAAGAACAATATAAGCAATTTTTATATTTTTTTAAAAACGTTATGGAACACTAATTTTCATTTCTCATACGCCCTTATTATGGTAGTCCTTGCAAAATAAAATATTGTATTTACGAGAAAGAGTGTAGGTGCACTCTGTTCACCTGTAAGCTGACAAGGCATCGAAAGCTGCTGCCACACCCTCCATCCCTCTAGCTTACAGCCTCCGGAAATGATCCCTGGAATTGTGCAGACAAAGCTAGCGGTGCGCGTGCGCACAAGATTCGGAGCTAAAGAAGCGATCTACGAAAGCTTCTTTTTGACTCGTGTGTTTCGCCTGTTATTCACAAGAAAAGAAAAACTTGCTTCTAACGTAACAATGTATACCCAATGCAGAATGCAGGTGTCCCAGCTTACCTTGATGTGTTTCCGTAGATTAGAGTTTGTTGTTCTTGTTGATGAAAGTATGGTTTTTTTTTTAAAGCAATGTTTGCACTGAAACTTTAGGTTTCCGTTCTTTTTAATGCCCCGAATTTCGGACATCTCATTAATAGATGGCTATGGAGACGACGGACACGCCGTGACCGACAACTCGACCAGTGAGAGACAAAGTGGCGTTTACGGGTTATGCAATATTCGTCGTTTCTCACTTTCACACCAATATTCGTGGAGGCCAGGGAAAGGGAGGGCATCAAGGGCGAGAGGAGCGTTGGACATCGCTGTCACAAAACAGTAGAGGATTACACCACTTTTACGCGTTCGCTCTCTCTCTCTCTCTCCGTGTCAGTACTCCTAAGATGGCAAAACTGCCGCCCCCCTCCTCCCCTCCTTTTATGTGAACAGTTGACTCTAAAGTGAGGAGTGCACTCGAGCACCAAGCCCAGACAAGTAAACCAAAAACCTATCGTCCGTACCCTCGAAGACGATGCTCTTAACCTCGCACAGGGCACTTTTCAGTCGTCCCTCTAGAGCGTGCTAGAATACAGTTGCGCACATAAAAGACAAGGAGATTTCGACTCCCTCGCACGAGGCTACATCGTCTCTTACCCGAGTTGTAAACCCACGAATCGAAGGGGCACCGTCCTACGTTTGATGCCGGTGCAGGTGGCGGGAGACGTCGAAAAAGTCGGAAAGGGCGAAACGGTGTAAAAAACCAAACCAAACACGAAAAGCTTTCTCGTTCCCGGGAAAAAAAACGAACAAACAAAAAAACGATAAAAGGCGACAGAGAGCCTACTCGGCGTCCTTTTGCTTGATCTTTGTGTCTCGTATATTTGTACATGCCTTGCCCGTTTTTCTAGTGGTTCGAATGACCGGTCATACAAAAGCTCCTGTTTTCGTTTCGGCTATTCTCCCTTTCCTGATATTTTCCATTTTGTTAAACTTGCTCTCTTTATGCCGCTGAATGTTCTGCTCGTATTGCTCCAGCACCTGTATTACGCTCATATTTTAAAATGTAACGACTAATTAATGTAATCCATTACCAATATTTTGTAACCAAATTACATTACAACTTACTTCCGAAAAACAGGAACGTGGCAATTACAAAATTACTTAACAAAGTAACGAAGTACAAGTAATCTGTTACTTATAACAGATTGCTTTTTAGCTCGGGGTCTATAGCATTTTCCAAACTGAGTTGTTCTGATAACGTTGATAAGCACTAATCACCCGTTACAAAGGGAATGGCCAACACAATCCAGTCCAATGTACTCAAATATAGAGGCAGTGACCGTACGCTCACCAATGGTATTCCAGCCTGGATGTTCTTCTCCATGATGAAGCGCGTCCTGTTCAGCGACCCGTAGTCAAAACGACACAAGTGGAAGCCCAGGCCCCAATAAGGGGGCATGGCGGGAAAGCCGACCACGTGCTGAAGCTGCTGAACCACCTTGGTTGGGGATGGGCCTACGAAGACGAACATGTCCAGGATGCCACCGATGGCGCGGAAGGTGGCTGCCGGAGTCGGTTGCAGGAAAACCTCTGCGAAGAGCAACAAGGTTAAGCGTAAGGCGAGGATAAATAAAACGAGACATATATGCGGTAGTATTTCGATGTATCGCCCAAACAGTTATAAGCCTCCTGCGATGAAGTTTGGAGAAAACCCTGGCGCCCTCATTTTGGGTAGTACAAGCTCACCTGATTGGGCCTCCCACTACTTGTAGCGCCTTCGCTGAGTTTTCGTTTTTCTGTGTAGTCTAAAGAACAGAAAACTACCTTTCGCATTCCGAAATCGGAAATATTTAACGCCGTAAGACAATCCAACGTTCCAGATTCAGGCCACCACCACTAGGGTACGCGTCTGTTATTTTTGTGCAGTGACGTCAGAATATCTGACGTCCGGACGCTTTGATTTTTTTTTTAATTTTTAATTCTTAGCCACTTAGCTTTGACCTGTACTTCGACGGTGTTCAAATTCTTATTGTTTCTTTGTATTTTCCCCGTGATAGCGTTCCGCACAAGAAAAAACACTTTTTTTGCAGTGTGAAAATTTGACACGCTCAAGTTTGTACTACCGAAAACAAGTCCTAACAGGCATCTTTCACAGCGCCCTGTAAGCAACGCAGAGGTCTATATGAAGAATTGCGTGTTTTATGAGGAACGTCGCGGAGGCGAACCCTACTCTGATTTTGCAGGCAACGATAAGTTGCCTTTTAATGTCGCCGAGTCCTCCTTTTAGACCGTTTCTTTTCTGGCCGTTGTTTGGTAAGTACTTCGCAGGAAGTGAAGTCTTGAGAAGCGACTAAATGTCGTCCTCCAGGCTCTTGTTTTTCTTCCTGTGTTGCGTCGTCTGATCTCTAAGCTTCGGTCGAGGTGTTTGGCAGTCGGCCAACTGTCTCCGACCTTGATACGCGTCACTCACGATTTGAAGCTTAAGTCAGAGTAAGCTTCAGTAAGAATTCAAGCCTGAATTAATAAACGACTTTTTATGAATGATTCATAAGTGTTTGGGAAGAGTGGCTCGTATCGAATAGCGCTGCTTCATGCATAGTGCAAAAAAGGCAGAATATACCGATACTGGTTCTATCTGCAATGTTGTCGCAGGGAATAAAACTACAAAGACTCTTAAGGCTGCTAACGTCTTGAAATCATTCGTATACGTAGCGTATACCTACAAGTTGCGCGACCCGCTGAGGCATGCCATTCGACCAGTGCGTAGGTTGCCCGGGCGGGCTCTGCGGCCGGCCGCCACGGCTGCTCTGCAAAGCCCGGCCACCCTCTCCCTCTTAGCGGCGGCCGGGCCGCTGCCCCGTGGAGGGGGCTCTCTATGTGGTGGCATTCCTTGAAACTGCGCCGCGCGGCAGCCAATGGGAGTTTATCGATCAATACGCTCGTGCGTACTACAGGCTTCACTACATGGGGACAGGGGAATTTAGGTGGCGTTTGGCGCGGCTTAATGAGCTGATAACGACGGTACTCTCCATGGCACAGTAATGCTTTCGCATTGAAAACTGTACAATTAAATTTGCACCACTCTGCAAACCCCTAAATGATTTTTAATAAACCCATTGAAAATATAAACATTTTGAAGGGATCTGTCAGGCAAACGTAGCGAAATTCAGCAAGTGACTTATGTTTTATTTTATAAATTTTAATATCTTTTTGAACGCATCCCATATTTGCTTTCAGTAGGGAAGTGTGTGCGAAAGGTGGTTTGAATTCTTAGCACTTAGTCAATATTCTTTTATAGCCAAAGAAAAAGCCAAGGCGTACCGTCTTTATTCTCGGTGTTGAAGCTAGGAATGATACTTGTCTATTTGATTTGAAGTTTGATTCGCGCAGCCATGATGTTTAATCTTTTATATACAGGTGTGCCAAGAGTGGTTTGAATCAAACAACGCAGCATCGTTCCATCACATTACAAGAAAAAGAGACGACACAATTGCTACCTTCTAGTGTTAAAGCTAAACTGGCACTGATGACTCTGGAATGACACACAAAGGGCAGAATTTTAAAATTTTTGGTATATGGTATTCATGACAAATATCTGTGATACATTGAAAAAGATTAACTGGGATATGAGATGAGGAAGGGGACATCTTGCGCCTGAGTTTTAACAGTAATAATTTTAAGACATGGTGTTTAGCAACGGATGTAACCCCAGAAAATATAATAAATAATAAAAAAAACACGTAGAAAGATACAAATATTTGGAGGTGCGACTTCATTAGTGAAGGATATATTTGAAGAAACTGGAAGGAAATATAATTAGGAGTGGCCGAATAAATTCAGCGACCACAGAGCTCAAGCGACTATGGAATTATGATAAATGGTGCGTGGTAAACGGTGGATTGTAAAAAGTGACGATGTCTGAATTTTGTTTTGGCAATTGTGTTGGCATGAGGTCAGAGGTTCAATTATGTCCGGACATTCGACAATGAAGCGTGAAAAGACTGCCACGGAAAACTTACGTAAACTCACATAGCTAGGTGGTGGACTTTGGCTGGTCGTCCTTTGAAAAACTAGTAAATTGAAGTTTGATCAAAAGAAGTTAACTGAAATGGGCAATGCAGGGTTGGCACGGAAAGTATACAGGCAGTTTTGCGTAAGGAATTAAGCGTATAAGGAGCGAATCAAACCTGAAAGGTAGCATTTAAATACCGACAAACTATAATATTGTTCATGGGACTGAACTATATTATAGTTTGGACGGAGGAAAAAAATAGTAGAAGAATCCGAAAGGAAAATGTGAAAGGGAAGAATATTTCAAGGCAATTCAGCACATTAGGGAGGAACGTATATTTTAAAATTCACGGGAAAGCTTTTTATTATCTGAGGCGAAAACGGGAGTCTGAAATGCAAAGACATATAGGGCAAAGTTTTAGTAGTAGACGCATATGTGTCGTACGGTACAGTGAAGGCGATTCGCTACAACATGTGGTTTTGAGGTACACGGGGCGTTGTCTTACCCTCTCGGAATAGGTAACTGATATAGCGGTAGCGCTAGGTTTTGCTGTAAAAAAAAAAAAGAAAATAAAAAAAATAAAAATAAAAAAGGAGATGAACAATTTAGGCTGCGTTTTTGCTATGCTTCTCTGCGGAACACGTTGAAATGCGATATCATGTGAAGGTTTCTTCTATGAAGTTGCCATTTCCCTGAATAAATGGGGGAAAATCTTGTTCCTTCACTCAGCTCTTGGTCGTAGCAGTTGGAAGCCTCCTTTGTTCCCGGTCAAGCGCTGGGCTCTTTTTTTCGGTGTCCGATCGGCATGGCGAACACGTTGAGTCCTAGTGGGCCGCCGCTTGTGTTCAGCGATATCCTCTTCATTCCACTCCTTCGTCTTGCGAGGCATTCTGGAGAAGACCAGAGCACCTCCAGCAAGCCCATGTCTTATACATCCATTTTCTGCGACTTCCGGTTTTCTCTCATCTGCCATCTCTTTGCCTAAATCATTTTCGGTTTTGGAATGAACGTGGTCTTGTTTATGGGATTTGACTATTATGTCAGAGTGCTTTTTCTGTTTTTGTGTTGCTGTGAATGGGTAGATTCCATGGAATGTGCTTAGGGATGCACTATCCCATTCTGACAAATTATGAACCAAATCTCGAAAGTAATTTTGTTTTGATTACCGCGTGATGAACATCGCCAGCATGACCATGGTACATGGACAGCGAATGGAGCTTGTCTTGTTGATTGAAGGCAGCCGCAACAATGAAACGTCGCTAGATATAAAGTGTGAAATGTCATGTGTGACTATTAGGATTTTATGGACGAAATGAGACGCGGAGTGTGGCAAGCCAAGAGGTGTTTATTAGTACATCAAAGGTATTTACTTCCTCAGCATATGAAGTTATGAACTAATAAAGACCTCATTGCCTTTTCAGTTCTTTTAATTGGACTTATTATTGAGGGGGTACTGTGCGCTTTGTAATCCCAGACATTTCTAAATTACGACAAAAATATACTGTTCCAAAGTAACTAACCCTTCAACGCCCACGCAGTATACGTAGTCAGACCGGCCCGTGTTCCCGATAAACCCGAACAGCCTACGTCTTGCTATCTCTTTGTCCTGCAGCTATGCGACCTGGCAACTAAATCCGTTTTTTTTTTCTTGGCTGGCACACAGCAGCGTGTTACACACTGAGCAGGCTTGATGACGTTACGTCGAGACACTACCGGGGCATTCCTGCTTCCAATCTCGCGTGACAGACGAATCACTAAATTCGTTGCCGTCTTGCCCTGCTTCATGCGAAACACTGATAAAGACCTGCTGACGTAGCAGCGTTTGACTAAATTAAAGGAAATTACGTCGAGTTACAGCTGCCAGACGCCGGGACGTCCCTGCTGCTAAAATAAATTTCGACGTGGCAATTAACTCGAGGAGCAGCCTTGCGCCCGATATACGATGCAGGCATGTCCCGGAAACTCTCTCTCGTAGCTTGTCGTAGCACCGACAAGCGCAACTCTATGAATGGCGTGATTGCTCGCAGTCGTGTCGATGCATCTCCTCACAGAGTGCTACGTCGGCTCGGGTCAGGTCACTTACGGGTCAAAATTAACAGTTGGGCTAGTTGGCTACACATTGTATAAAAATTCAAAAGCGCAAACACCAAGGAAAATAAGAGGGGACAGGACAGAGCGCTCTGTCCTGTCCCCTCTTCTTTTCCTTGGTGTTTGCGCTTTTGAATTTTTACACTTACGGGTGCAAACGCCGCTCTTTCTTCAACATTCCTGAACTCGTTAGATCGAACATTTCAATTGGGACGATGAGCGTCGACACATTGATGTTTCCACGTAAGGAGCTCGATCATTCAGAGGCAATCTAGAATAGTACGCGCTCGTCATTGCGCAAGCCCCGTAGGAAAACGCACACAACACCAGTCAATCGGAAATGAATATGGCACGGGGAAGTAGCCATCTTGTTTGTTGTTGTTTACCTTCTAAATAGATGCGTATCGTAGACTGGCTAAATAAATGATTGGGCATACCCCCTGCATCAGGTGGTAGCTTTCGCTACGTAGCTTAAAATAATTTTCACCTTCCCTTTTCAATATGGCTATAAATTTTGTCTCTTCTTGAATTATACATCATACCCATTTTGCGTATATTCACGCCTTTCTCCACCAATCTTCTTTTTACCTTTTTCGGACCCTAAATCTTTCTTCCCCCGTTCTTTTCTCGTCTTCAGAAAAACTCGGCGCTCCAGCCCAATCCTTTTACCCCTTCAGAGATGGTAAAACAAAGCCCAAGCAGTCAAAATCATAGGTTGTAGCGTCTCGTTATTGCCACGCCATAGCCACATACATGTCTATCTCTTGAAACTTTGCCATATATATTCTTTTCCTTAGGATTCCCGTTGTCGCCTCGAAGAGTCAAGAGCCCTCCTGAATTATCAAACACCTCTTTCTTTTTTTTTAACCTTTTTTTGTGACCCGTACATTGCTTAAGCTGATTTGTCGCACAATTCCCCCTCCCATATTTTGTTTTCCGATTTTTTTCCCTCTCTTTCCCACTCAACTAGTTTGCTCAAGCCCATCACTAATGTGTAGGCAACTTAATGTCGGGTTTGTGTTTTGTACGTTCGTTTTGTGATTTATATTTTGTTATATATATTGCGTTTATATTTTTATTGCCCATCCCGTATCCGTTATTCAAGTTAACTTTTGCACAAAATTGAGCTAATTGCCTGATTGCCTCTCTGCTCTCAATGAACAACCTGCCCATGTCTTCTGGGATCCCGCATTTGCTGAGCTCTCACTCGGTGCTACCCAGCCCATATCCCCCTGTCGAATTCCTATTTTTGACTGAACCTCGAACCTCAAGCATAGTACACCCACTTCCGTACAACAGTCCAGGTATCATCACTCCTTTCCACGTGGTCCTGACCAGTTCATATTCATTAGAGTGCCACGGCACCTTGATTTCTATAATTGCTGCATTTATTGTTTTTTTTTCTCTAAATCTATTTCATTCATGTACGTCTAGACATTTTCTTCTATCCTTTTGTTCTATACTCTACACGTGTGTGTTTTCCTATGTGGCATACTACAATTCCTTGTATTTTCGGGGTTTCACTCCCTTTTATCATTGAACGCCGTTACTCCACACTTGTAACTACTAAATCTCATGCCCAAGATGTTGCGTTCCTCTTAACATACCACAGTTAGTTTATGCAATGCATTTTTAGATATTTGCTTTGAGAACTATGTGCTATGACCCCTTTTGAAAGTGTGCCTCTGTTGGAAGTTGTGTAATCCCTGCTGACGGATGTACACATGCGCGAGCTCCTTCAGTTCGATTGCGCCTCAGCTTCACGTACACTTTTACAGCGTGAAAACATGTGCCAGCTTACCCGCTGGCGCCACTTGTCGTTCCGCGGTGTTGGTTGACGGAAGAAATTTGATCGCATCTCATACCTTTATTTACAACCCTTCCTGTAGACTTCGACAGAGAAAACCTCCCTGTAGCCGCAATGGCTGAGCGAGGGGCTCCCAAACTTGGGGTTCTGTTTTCCTTTCCCGTTAGAGACCTTCGGAGTTTTGTTCTGTCGGGTCAGTTTCAATTCTCCACTATCCGGCGCGTACTCATTTATTTCGCGTACAGAGCAGAATTTTCACGGGGTGCTGGCGACAGAAGCGCTATCCCATTTAATACAGCACTAACAATAATAACGCAATAGATTTAAGACGGATGTAATAACACGTGCCTGTTTGGTTCACCCTGCGGATGAATCAAATAAGCACCTATATATAAGAAGAAACTTATATAGAATCCTCGGATTGCCTGCTTACGCTTTGTTGAGATACTTTGCTTCTAAAATTTTTACAAGCTCATATGTCATAAAGAGACACACTTTCATGATTCAGATTCATAAAGGTTTAGTGTCTGTCATCAATATTGTAAATCACACTATATGATGTCTCCAAACCAGTTTAACTGAATACGGCACGGACGGCATGAAGGGAACCTTCATGGCGTTCTTTCACTGGAAGCAGTTTTTATTTCCCCATATTTTTGTTGTTTATTCCAAGAAACAGATTTGTTAAACTAAAATCACGGGAGCACGTATTTGCCACTTTATTACCAAAAAGAATATTCTTTAGCGACTACACTAAGTAAAAGCGTGTGGTGACATTTCTTTAAGGTGTCAGAGCCTGCCACTGTGTCCGTCTCTAAGATATAGAGCGACAATTTACGGGGTGATTTATATTATTCTGTTTTCTTATATGTAAGGTCCTAAAGATAATATTCTGGACTGTATGCGTTGGAAATTTACACGAAGAAGCATCAGTGTGGCGGAATACAGTAGTTTGTTGCATTTCAGCGTTCTATTTTTAGTACAGACGCAGAATAGTAGCATCCCTGTTCTGGGTAGCCAACTGATATTTCTTTAAACGTAAATGAAAAACACTAAAATGTATTGTAACTTTTATTTTGACTTAGTTGTAAAAGTTCCACAAAAACAAAAACAAAAAACGCCGATAGTTTTGAAATAACTTGCAGCTTTCACAGAAATGCTTTCTGAGTGACCTAAGAAGGTCATTACCCATAAACAAACTTTAAAATTATTTGCCACTTTAATCTCACACGCTGAATAAATTACAACAAACGTTAGAGACATGACTAGAAATTTCTAAAGCGATTCTGTATACCATTCTGAGAAACGTATTTCGGACAAATAAATAATGATGTTGTGAAATCGGGCCCCTCTTTCAACCGGGTTAGACGCCTTACCCATCGCGTTGCTGTTGTGCAGGAAAACGCCGTGGCCCTTGCCGTCCTGCTCAAGTCCAAAATAAACCGGATGCGTCCCGTAGAGGTTTTCGTTTTCCTAGAAGAAAAACTTTCAAGTGAAAAACAGGTCTTCGTTTAATATAAACGATTAAGTTGTTCTTGAGCATCTTAATCTGCAGAAACGTTTGTAAATATTTCATGACTCTTTGGTAAAATCAGTCTTCAGAATGTTTTTATTAGAATCATTAATTTGGAAGAGCGTATGATTATTACGGTCAGTTGCACAATAAACTGATAGTAGCTAAAGATTTATGAACAAGATACTGTTTTTAGGAGTCGCGAAATTTTAAATTTTGAAGACTCATTATTTGCAGCTCAAACGAAACTAGGCAAGCGAAAACGTCGGATCCAGGTTTTACTTTCGTAAAATACCAGATCGGAATACATTTTTGAAGGTACCGAAATACAAAATGCGCATTAGTTTTTTTTTCTTCCCTCCCCTGAGCAGCAGTCGAAAAAGAAAGTAAGGAAAACGACAAATGTACGAAAGATGTAAGAACTTGGTTAAATATGTATGAATTTTGAGAACGACCTTAGGTTGTACCATGCTGACGCAGTTGAAAAATAAAAAAAAATAAAAACTTATGAAACAAGCTCTAACATGAACAACAATGCAAAGAAAATTCAATGATTACCTCTTTCGATTCGGTTCCTTCTTCTAACTGGGTTCTATTCTTTTGCTTTCGCTGTTTAATCCTCTTTCTAGAGCTTCAACTGTATGCTTTCCAATTATTTCGGAAGGCAGGCTGAAGTTATGCGATGTTCAGTTGTCATCTACTGTTGACGTCAAGGTGCGTATGGTGACGTTCGAATGCGAGAGCCATACGCCGGGCGCCGTCGCTCCACGTTCTAACGCGTTTAACGAGTGCAGTGGAGACAAAGGCGGCTAACTTTAGGTTTGCTCACTAATCATTCCATCAAGAGCTCAGCATTCTGACGCGCCCGCGTGGTCTTGACTCCTCCCCTCTCTCATTTTCTTGGAGCATACCGCGTGTACACATTTAATGATTGAGATGCTGATATCTGGTCTACGACGCCAAGACTCTAGGTGGCCATGCTTCTATTCAATTTACAAAGAAATATGTACTGAATGCGCAGCTGGTGCTTCTGTCCAATTGGTGTTTTGCATTGAAATGACGTCAGACAAGACTGAGTGATTACTTGACTGGGCGTTTAAAAAAGGTTTCTCTTGACAACAACAGTGTCCATAGAGTGACCCTAGATAGTTCTTTAAAACTCTATAACTAGCCTGAAAAATCGCCTGCCCTATGACACGGACTTGCATGGTAAACTTCCCAATGACTCACAATCCAAAAGAAATATGCTGCGAGCAAGGCACGTATCCGGAATTCTGGTTCGGTTTTAATTTACTTCTTCCTTATTTTTAAAGTCTGCTTAGATCATAACACACGGAAAAAGACTATACAATTGTCTTGATCTTATACAATCGTCTTAAATTTGGAGTTTATAGGAGTTCATCGGGAATATTGTATTGCGGCTGAGCTCGGCACACTTTTAACAACATTTAATCTCATTTTTTGTTTTGTTTTTAATTTTTTGATCAAGAATATTTTTAGTATGGCGCTGTTTAACTGACAAATTAAGGTTCTGCTGACTCGTCAAGCTGCGCTGCTGCATCTTTGTTTCCACAGGTCCTTTCTCTGTTCTTGTAAGAGGTGAAGATACAACTGATTTGATTTCATTTCATTTGACATGTATTGTGTTGTTGTGCAAGGTATCATTGGCTAGGATGTGATTAGCTTTGCTATAATTTTCGAGAATTCTTTAAGCTGCTTTCATCTTGTCGAGCGCGGTTTGGACCACCACACACAGATAGTGTCCATCTAATTCATAACACATCCTGTGCCTTTCCAAGTTTGCTAGTATAATCAAGACAAGCCTAAAGCTTTAATTGCGTTCCAGGTAGTCGCTCATGTTCGGGACTGGCCTTGTCTCGGCCGCTTCGTCCTTCAGGTCTTTTCGTTGAAAGTGTTCCCGCGTTTGCTCGGTGTTAACCTTTCTCATGGAAGTCATGAGGATACCTTGAGTGTATTAATTTCACCTGTACGTATCAGTTTTATACTGCCAAATTTAATTCGTTTTACCTTTGCAATGCTTCTTTTCTTTCGTCATTTCCCCGGTTCAAGCACTTTACCCGCGCTCCGGTATTATTTTTTTCCTGCAATCTCTCTGAATGTTGTCTATGAGCAAGTACTGTCAACATTGGGTATTACACAAGATGAATTGTTTGCGCTCGAAACTGTATAAAAATATATCGTAGCTCGCTCGATAAAACATAGAGCTACAGATCCTTGGATATCCGGTCGAATGACACCAAGTACCAACTGGTGAATTACTTTATGGCCATTAAATTCTGACCATGTATAATTTATATGCCCTTGAGTAGTGTGTTGACGTCAGCGTAACGGCCCAACCTTTCGCTTTTTGATGGAATAAGCCTTATAGACACTATTCAAAATATCCCAGCGAGGTAGGGAACTTTCCATTTTAAGTCCCCGCAGACTTCCAGACCAAACCGAACTCAAGCAATCCCCATCAAAATGAGGCACCTGGGTTATTTCACTCCGAACGACCCAGCCTTAAATTTGTCAATTGCGGAATCTGCAGTAAAACATCGTAAGCGTTGTTGGCAAAATAAAGAAGTCTGTTTGAACATATCATTATGCTATGAAGTTTTACTTCCTTGGTGGAGCCTTGAATATCATAAAAAATCGATCCTCTGTCGAATTGTATGCCACAGGGCCAACAAATAGGCTTTAGGTACAAAACTGTATCCCACGGTACATTCGTTTATTATTTGTAAAGCAAGAATATTAATTAAACACCGTTTCAGTGGGTTAATTCGCCCCTCTAACTGTCCAAATAATATTTGCTGTCACTTTGCAAGTGTTCGCGGGAAAGCAGCGAATTAAAAAGAGCTTAATATGAATATATTCGTTATTTATTTCTTTTTCAATGCTAAGGGTGTGAAGCCTAAAAACGATTCTGCTTGTATCACTTCAAAAACTACTAATAAATTGTTTCGTTATAAACTTAGTTTCCGTCTTCTCTGAGAGTAATCGCCAATATCTTAGATATCTCAAGATAGGCAATGTTCAGTACGAAAAATGTGAAAGGTGGGCGGTCTAGAAATATTTCCCCTATTTTTGTATATAGTTTAGAACCCACATAAAAATTTTAAAAAAGTTCCAAAAAGTTTTATTTCTTTAAACTTTCACCTTAGGCCAACGCACGCTTCTGCCTCCAGCCATGGATGGGTGCAGGAAGCATATCAAGCGTGCGATGCTGTGGAACAACAAATCTAAATTACTCTATTGCTGCGCATGCCTTTAGATCTACAGGAAAACAAGTGAGGCAATAGAAATATATTTCTTATTTGATAATATGACTCTTAAACTTCCTACCAAGTGTAGCTGAGTGAACCATTGTGGTAGCAATAAATACATCATGTAGAAATAAAAACAAAAATGTGAGAAACAAGAAATAGCACGTGAGCTCTAACACTATGTTTTGGGGTATTATCTGTACATTGTTTAATTTTCTTAGTGTAAATGAAAAAATAAATAAGTAAATCACGCACTCAAACCGACGCGTCCTAGTGAATTTTATTTGAATTTCTGATATTTTTTCTATATGTTTCGTCAAGACCCGAATTCCGGAATTACTGAACGAAAGTCCGACTCTCAAATATTGTCAGGTATAAGAAGAGCTCCCGATGTTTACTCCCAGATTTTTAAAGAATATAAAGCAGGAACACGAAGACACTAGAAACACCCCATTGAAATTTTGACAAGGAACTAAATCCGGATTTGCAAAAGTGCAGAATAAATTTTAACCAGAAATGCGTGAAAACTATGCAGAGAAAAGTTAGAAATCTTAAGCACTGACGCGCAAAGCCTATTTTAATACGATCTGCCGGGCAGAATACACAATAAAAAAAGCATGACGAGAAGAGACAATGAATAAGGGGATGACTACGCCATGGTGGTGCATAATAGCGTCGGGAGGCACTAAAGACAGTAAAGGCCCGTTCACACTTTTGCGACCTCTTAAAACTTGGTGGCTTAAAACCTCTTACAACAGGAGGACACACTGGCGCCATGTATTGGGTAGCAGTGTAAACTTTTCGGTCCGGCATATTTTCTATTTCTCTCGCGCATTATCCTTTCTTTCTTTGCTCGAAAAACTTTTGTCAACGTTATGAACGAGCATTTCTTATAGCTATTACGCGCATTTGACCTCGGAAATCCCGCAAAACCTTCGCTCTTGTGAAATGCAGTACCGGGGTCACCGCATAGATGGCGCCAGAATGCCAGTGTGCTCCCTCGTCCTAAGAAATTTTAAGAGGTTTTAACAAGTCTCGTCTCTCTGGGTTGTACTCGGTGGCAAGAGTGTGAACGGGCCTTAAGAACTTGAGTGGGATCAAACCCGGGAGAGCGGAATGACGGCCCGACGCGGTAAGCGCTGCGTTCCACCGCAAACAGCATGAGAAGCATAAACCTTGCATGTGACCCTGAGTACGGTCGCTCGGTGCGACTCACTGATGAATGTCGCGTAAAATTCCTTCAGGAAACATTATGCAAGGCACTATAATGAATCTACCCTGCTGAAGGAGTTGCGCATAGTCCTGGCCTGCTTAATCAAGGCTTATATTTTTATGGTTCAACCTTGGTGAAAATGATACCGCGATCTGTTTCAAGATTTACTATACAAAGTGATAAGAAGATAAGAAGTTCGAGCAAATTTAGAACCACCTACTTTTTTAGGCTCTCTCTTTGTGCCGAAGCGATATCAACGCCCATGAAGACTCCATGTCTGGAGGTACTTTGAGAAATGCGCCCTCATTTATTTTATGACAAAAAAGGGATTTCTTCATTGAAATGCTTGCAGGGTACCGTCGTCTGGAGATAGATGGCGCAAGTGGGCGATGTCCCTCAGAGCCGTGAATTGGGAGAGTTTGGACATAGATTGGTTTGGATAGGCGAGCATCTCGCTGCATACCACAGGCAGCAAAACAGCCACTAGCCGTGATCCTGAACTCCAAAAATGCCACTCGACTAATTGAAGCCGTTTTAACGTCGCTCGAGTAAGATTTTTGGTGACTGAAAACTTGGCGCATGTGAGGTTTTCGTCAACTCTATATTTAACGGCAGAACAAACGAACGTACGGTCAAAACCAGGGCCAAGTTGCTAGAAACCGTGTCTCTGCTGACACTGGGGTAAAGAAAGCACTGCCAAAGCCAGCGCACGAACGGAGCTGCACCGTCTCAACTGGAGCGGAGCAAACCGCGTCTCAAGACACTTGCGCGCCGCACCGTTTTCACTGTTTTAATATTAATGAAAATACTAATATTAATATCTTTATTTGGCTCTGGCGAGCCGCGGCACCGCGGAAAGGCAACAGCCCGTATCATGGAGGCTCACGGTGCCGCGTCTAATCAACATGATAATGCGATAAGTCTATACATGCAAGATGACGACGAGATGGGTTGTAGCTATTGCGAAGGATGTCAGTCCGATTTGACGATCTCGACACTCCGTTGAGGCGGGTCAGCAGGAGGTCAAGGGGATCTGCAGCTTGCCGTTTGATCGGTGCACGGTAGCACAAAGGATCCCGAGGAGCATGATGGTGTTGTCGCTCAACGGGGGCCAAGCACCAGGCTCCAAGGGGGTAGCCCAGTCATAGTAGAAAGCTGCTGTTTCCGAGGTACCGAGGCCCAGGGCTTAGATTTAGGCACCACCGACGCCCAGTGTGGCATTCTTGCAATGTCGTCGTCTTCCTGTTATCTCTTTCCTCTCAGCCATTCTCAGCTGAGACGCTGTTCCAACAAGCCGGCCGAGAGCGAAATGTCACCGAGAAACCGAGATTGTACGCTTCTATTTCAAGGTTTAAGTATCGTTTCCAATATTGTGACGTCCCGGTCTGCCGATTGGCCGTTGCTGCGTCACACATTTAGTGTAAGTTCTAAGTACGGGAGGAGTATTCGGCGCTAGCGGCGGCCTTTGTTTCGCCCATTGGCCAAACTCCCCCGATATACGGCTCTGATGTTACTAAAATTTGCGAATGGTTGGAAAGTGCTTCCGCCAGACACAGAGTATACAAAAGGCTATGGCTAGGCCCGCGCGTTTTTGCTACTGTGCGATGTTTATCGAAATGTGAGATAAAGCATAGGAATGCACCGGTTAGGGGGCCGACGTTAGCTTAGAATAACGAACACGTTCTCTCTGAGCACCATAAAGACATATAACGTCTTCCGTTCGTACCACGGGCCCTCGGTCTCTGTTGAAAAACACGTGCCGAGTCCAGTTGGTGTCTCTGCGTAGGTGGCTCCACTGCTCGCCCAGGCCGAACACTGTGCTCGAAGGCATCGTTGTCGAAAGTTGGAGGAACTGGTCGGTGAACACCAGTCTCGATAGGTCTGTCTGGAAACTGAACCGCCGGGGGAATCTCTAATAACCACAGGGCAGACTTCATCCTAATACTATAATGGTGGAAAGTTGTGTGAGTTGGTGGTACATGGTAACGGTATAATAAATGGTGCCAAAAGATGAAGGACGGGAAGACCAAGTGCACACACTGAGCGTTGCAGTATACATATCGTTACCGCTAACCGTTAACTAACGCTAAATATCCGGGGTTGCGCGTAACTCGGCTACATGTGATGAAGCTCAGGAAAAGCCAGAAAATCCCGGTTTGAAGCTGTCCTCTCGTGAGGACAGCTTCAAATTTACAAAATGCGAATTTTATTTCCAACTTTACTGTATGTTGACTCGCAGCACAAGTGTCCGCGTGGCTGCTTTGTTCTTTCTGTGCCTACGTATACTTACTGACCAACCACGATTTCACAAACGCACTAAGCACGTGTTAAGGGCGGTTGTGCGTAAACAGCATGGCGTCTTCAAAGTTATTTCACATGTACTTAGGCTTTTTCCGGGGTTGCATGGGCACACTTTTTGAACATTTTAGTTATTTGTACTTGATGCACCGGGCCACTTGGCGGTACGTCGTACAACTAACGCGAGGTACAAAGAGAAAAGGCATTACACAGGAGGCATTGCGTGACATTGCAGCGTAGGCTTAGCGGCGTTTTGTTTTTCTCTCTGATATTTTTGCTTCGTCCACACAAACGTCAGGTCTTCCAGTAAAGCCCCATTACTGACAAGTCAAGTCAATTCTGACTTTTCACAGAACGTTCGCCGAACGCTGACGTTTCCCTCGTGTGTAATTTGAAACCTCCGTTGACATCCGATTTGTGATGGTAAAAGCGCCAGCACTACCGGTATTTTTTCTTTAGATTGTTTTTATCACGTTGACAATGACAGCGTAATGACCTCTGAAGTAAATTAATCAGCGTAATTTTATTCAAAATATCTATTATTGCAACAGGTCCAATAGCGACCACTCGACATTATCCAAATTCTGCGGTTGTAACAAGAAGCCCAATGCACTTTTTAAACGCATTTGGTTCTGGATGCAAATATTGGCGCTACTTTTTGACATTTACTGTAACAAGAAAGTCGCTCTCCTTCCGGCTCTTCGGCGAACGTGCGAAGGAGTAGAAAAAAAAGCGCCGTGGTACTGTTCTTACATGTGATGCAACAATTCGAATGGAGCAACGTTTTCTCACAGGACAATGTCCGGTGATTCAAGGCGATAGACCCGAATTTTTCCGTCGGCGTCGCTGAAGTTGACGCCGTACTCGCAGAGACCTGAGAAGGTTTGGTCGCGGATACTGGGCACCGGAGGAGAGAAGCGCTGAACCGACGGATCCAGGACCTGCAATGATACAATTAACACAACTCAAAACAAGAAAAAAAAAAGAAAAAAAACCAGGTTCGCCACAGTTTTAACACGCTGCGCGCGCAGCGCACTGAATTCTATATATAAATTTTTTTTTTACGATTTTCCTTGCCCTCCAACATCTGCCACGTGACAGTCAAGAAAGCCAGCCAGAGCGAAGGATACGGATTTGCTTGCCTACCCTTCCTCGCTCGCCTGTGTTGCGCCCGTCACATTCAGGGTCGCTTCCGCCATATGCTACAGTAAGTTATTTACAGCAAGTTCCCAGCATTTCTTTCGGCGGCGCAGAGGGCGCCGCAGCCTTTTGCGAAAGGTGTTTATCTGAAGACTGATTAGCCTACCCTTGTAATGTGGCAAAGCTGGTTGAATGCCGTAGGGACGTTTTTTGATCAGGGCAGAACGTCTACTTAAGTAGATATAACAGTAGGATTTTATCTCAGATTCATGATATTTCCGGATCTGGATGCGCCACTACCCTTGCTTTGCAAAATATGATCAATCCAACATGCCTTTTTGGATGTTAAATCCATAGGAGTATTTTATGCATAGGAGGACACCTCTCTCTGCATAAAATTACCGCAAATCAACTTCCGCTTGGCGTTCTTTCTTGATGGCGTGCCGGCGCACTATGGTTCGAGGCAACTTCAATTGGGAATTAAGAAAAAAATGAAGACAGTGTGTCCATGGCCTTGATGGGCGCTCGAGTTGGACGTGCTTTCGGCGGCAATAGGCGATATTCACTAAATCAGTGAATCATGAAAAAGTAGTGTCGTTGCTTTCTGTCTGCTAGTGGAACACAAAAAAATACTGACATACAGACGACATAAACCTCACAAGGTGATTGGCTAATGTGTCTGCGTTGCTATGGCAATCGCCATTTCATACCCTTCAAATCTTCAAATCTTCGAGAGGGTCGTTTTTCTTCAGTCACAAGAAGACCACCATAGAGCATCATGGTTCTGAAGGCAGTCTTCGCCAATATAAGCGCCTTTAGGAGTGTGGATGCACTGAACTAATCAATCATGTCCATCGCCACGGATCTGTTACAATTATATTGTTCTTCTTGCGTATTTCAAAGCGGTCAAACTATTTTTCAAAACGCCCAAGCACCGAAACCGAATGTAGTTTTGGTACCATTTGTCGTTCTGTTAGGAACGACAAATAATGCAGTGCGTACACTTGGGTGTGATTAGGTCAACTGGCGCCGTCGTCGTCTTTATTCGTGTTGCTCGTGCATCATTTTTATTGCTATATCATCTTTCCTCTCGTTTTCAATGATAATACAAAGAAAAAAACAAAATTATTAGACAAAGAAGAACAGAACGAAACAGAGAACGAAAGAAAAATGAGAAAAAAAAAACAAGAAAAAAAAAAAACTACGAAATTTGCTGGAAGTATTCATCATAGCTTTGTGTCCGTGGAGGTCGTCTTGTTCTGCCTGACGTACGTGAAGTGTGCCCATTCAGCCTTTGAGCTTGCTGGACGTACTCATGCGGCGTCCAAGCTTCTTGCTCATCTGTGTTGTCTGGTCGAGTAATTCCGGTAGTCCCTCATCTTCCACTTCTCAGTCGTCGTCATTGTTATCGCCATTTGTTCCTCGAACCTATTTTTCACATGTTTTCAAGAGTTGTAGCCTGTTGCGGCGGAACGTCTTGCCATCTTCTGTGATGACAGTGTATGACCTAGGGGCTACGTATGATTGCACACTGGCTTTTGTGAACCATTTTCCGTTATTTAGGATCCGCACAGTGTCTTCTGGCTGCAAATGTCCTAGATGCCATCTGTTTTGAAGGTTCTGTGCATGTTTTGTACAGGCGGTGCTGGTTAACTGGAGGTCTGGCACAGGTGTTCGAATTCCGCGACCCATGAGAAGATCTGATGGCGAGCGACCGGCCTCCAGCGGAGCCGTACGGTAGCTGAGAAGACCCAGCCAGAACTCCTCCCCAGTAACCGGCGCTTTTGGAGCAGTTGCTTGACCATCTGGACGCCCTTCTCCGCTAGGCCGTTGGAACGGGGATACTGAGGGCTTGAGACTGTATGAATAAAGTCATACCGCGCAGAAAAGTCTTTAAATTCTTTCGCAGAAAGCTGTGGGCCTCCGTCAGTGCAGACCTCTAACGGGTGTTCCAAGACGTGAAAGAAACGCAGAAAGTTTGGCTATCACACCATTAGCACTTACGCCCTGTAGCTCCTCCAATTCCGAAAAATTGGAGTACGCATCATAAACAACTAGGTAATGTCTTCGAGACAGTTCGAACAAGTCTGCTCCAACTCGGCTCCAAGGATTTTGAGGTACCTCACGTGTATGCAAAGGTTCATTTTTCTGTCTGTATGCGAAGACTTGTCAAGTCTCACAATCCCTGATTAGTGCAGTGATGTCCGCATTCATTCCTGGCCAATAAACAAGGTTTCTTGCCCTTGCTTTGCACTTGTTGAGATCTAGCCCTACTGAAAAAAAAACATTTGGCGCCTGTATGAAAATAAACGGGCCCATACCGGTAGCAGTTTAGCCATACCGGTCACCAGTTCGTCAAAGAGGTCGCCTGTATGGCTCAAAGAGGTCCCCCGTATGAGCCATAACGGTCACCTATTTGGGCAAACAGGTCACTTCTTTCGCAAACGGGTCACTCGTCTCAGCAAATGGGCGACTCGTTTGGGCAAGGTTGTCGCACGTTTGCTCAAACCGGTGACCATGTTGCACAGACAGGTGACCGGTGACGGGCCTACTGTACCGGTTTAATCAAACGGCTCTCGGGAGCCCGTTTGATATTGAACGTACAGATCGGCGGCGTGGGCACGCCTTTTTCAGCCGTGGCAGCCTATGTTTCCGGAAGGCTGCGAGCGCCGGTTCATCGGTTTCAGATCGTCCGCGTGATGCAAGTAATTATATATATATATTTTAATTGCGCTGATGTTCGCTTATATTGCAACTAAAACTAACACATTTTTTTTACGTAAATTTGGTGGGCCGATATTTTTGACAGAACCTTAAAACTTTGTCCATCTTTGTTGCCTCAACTTACTTATTCAGCTCGAATCTTTCTCGCAGAAGACGCGACCGCATGAAAGAATGTACTTCTAGAGTCCGTTTCACTTCATTTCAAGACGCAGCGAAGGTAGCACGCGAACACGCGGCTGCAAGAACATAGATCATTGCGAGAGCACGCCCGCCATTGCAGCAGTCTAACTACGAGCTCGCGGTGAGTACTTCCTTCGCTCGGGCCCAAGCCGCGCTTCTGGCCGCCGCCATTTCCTGTGTTCGAGCGTGCTGAAATGCGTGCGGGCGCGCGCGCGCCTGTTTTCCGAGGCTACAAAAAGCACGTCTCACTGGAATGCCTGGGGAGAGGGTTCGGAACCGTCTCGGTGTCCTGCCCCTTCACCGCGCCCCTTCTCTCCTTTCTTGTCACCTCTGTCACGTGACCCACAGCAGCGCGCGAGCTACACGCTGATAAGCATCAAGATCCGCAAGGCCGCGCCTTGCAGTTGCTTTTTTCTTTGTCTGCTTGTTGTCAGTCGCAGCTTTGCATTTAATTGCATTATAATCAAACTTCGTTCGTCCCAACTGCTTCAATCTGTCGCCTATCCCTGCGGTCTTATTGCGATGTCTCTCGACAACGTATTGGATGTGCACCAAAGCTCTCAGTGTTCGAAAAATCTTACGTGGATATCGGCAACAAGTGATTCTTAGAATTCTTGCGGTTTGGTAGGGTTCGGCAAATGACAGCTCGTGCGCCGCATCGTGTTGAAACTTCCAAGGAGCCGTTCCCTCTCGTTTGTGTTTGTGTGGTGGTCCTGCTTTTACCGTGTCCACAAATATCACGGATTACGTCTTTCAAGTCCGCTATTATTATGGTAAGTGCACTGCAACCTACTTGTTGGCAACGATTGACCGTTCTTCTACGCGTACTCTTCCAGATTATTTATAGAATTTTGTAGCTGCAAAATTCTATAAATAATCCGGAAGAGTACGCCGGGTAAATAATTTCCCCGAAAGTCTACCTGTATAGTCTAGAATCACCTCGGTTCTTGTTTGCCTTGCAATCTTCTCAGTTGTATAAAAGCTTAAAGTGCCTCTCACATTTCACAGATCGCTTGCATGTTTGTACTTGTCTACAGGCGAGGCAATAAACTTCGAGGAGAATTGAAAACAATCTTGTGTGTCTGTTTTCCAGCTCATTTGCAAGCACCCACGCGAGCGCATTTGTTCTACGTGTTTTCTCCATGTTATAGATACGTTTGAGAGTTTCGGGACGTCCTAAATAAGCTTAAGATAACCAAGCTCCCAGAATGATACCCATTTAGGGCGAGCGCATAATTTGCCAATTCGAATGGCGCATTCAGAGGTGTGATCACGTGCGAGGTCGAACGGGCACCCGTGTCAAACGGGCACCCGTATCAAGCGGGTACCGTTTCAAACGGGTACCCGTACCCCATAATCACGTTTGATTCAAACAGGTGGACATGTTTGCCACCCGTTTGAGTTTCAAATGTTTTTTTAGTAGGGTAGGTGGCCGTGATGTATCCGTTTAAGTATTTCTTTGCGCATTGCTGTAGGAATTACTCATTTGCTTCCTTTCAACAAGATTCCGTTGACCACGAAAAGCCCTGTCATGATGGTCTTTAACTCAACTAGGATTGGTTTTCCCGCTTCTACACAGTTGACAGCTTCCTGCAGGACCGGATCATGTGATGTGGCGGTCTGTAGGCTGCCCAAAGTCCGGCTGCCTACCAGTGTTGAAAGCACCGCATTTGCATGTATCTCAACGTCGGTGGAGCTTTTTTCGAGTTGTGACTCGCAAGAGATGCGAGAAATTGTGCCCGCGATCACCAGCTTCTTTCCCGGAACAAACTGCAAATCAAATTCAAACTTCAGCAAACGAAGAAATAGTTTTTGCAACCTTGGTGGCAATTCACCCAAGTTTTTCTTTGCAAGAGCGATTAAAGATTGATGGTCGGTTTCAACTAATGCTTTCCTT